CACTTATTGGGATTTTTTTTTACCAAAAACATGGAGCAGAATACATTTTGGCCTAAATTTATAACTAACTTTGAGTTTACTATATATTTTTTATAGCTGAAAGTAAAAAATATTGTTTTTCTTCAAAATGTTTGGTCTTTTTTTGTTTATAGCGTGAAAAATAAAAAGCGTACAGGTGATCATATACCACCGAAATAAAGCTCTATTTGTGTGAAAAAAAGGACGTAAATTTCATTTGGAAGCAGCATTGCATGACCGCGCAACTATCAGTTGAATTAGTGCAGCGCCGAGTAGCAAAAAGAGGCCTGGTTATTAAGGGGGTAAATCTTCAGGAGGGCAAGTGATTAATTCCACATGTTCAGTGGCTGAAAAGAGTGGTAATTAAGTTCACTTAGTGCCTTATCTGCATTAACCGCTTCCCGTCCGCCCTATAGCAGAAATACTGCTACAGGGGCGGCACGGGTGCTCAAAATCACACATATACAGTTGTTTTCAAAATAATAGCAGTCAGACATCACTAACCTGATCAATCATTGTTTTTGGTAGAAATGATATTTCTACATGGCAAATAATTTACTAGCAGGTGTAGTAGAGTGATAGAAATCCAACAGACCCAACAGTCATGACATGCATGCTGCTGATTCTGTGTAATTGAATCACTAATTGAAAGGGGCATGTTTCAAAATAATAGCAGTGTGGAGTTCTATTAGTGAGGTCATTCATTCTTTGAAAAACAGGTGGCAATTATTGCCCTTATTTAAGGAAGGAAGGCAGCAAATGTTGTACATGCTGGTTACAGTGCATTTCTCTCTGAAATTCTGAGGAAAATGGGTCGTTCCAGACATTGTTTAGAAGAACAGCGTACCTTGAATAAAAAGTTGATTGGAGAGGGGAAAACCTCTAAAGAAGTGCAGAAAATGATAGGCTGCTCAGCTAAAATGATCGCAAATGCTTTAAAATGGCAACCAAAACCTGAAAGATGTGGAAGAAAGGGAAAAACTACCATTGGAATGGATAGAAGAATAGCCAAAATGGCAAGGACTCAGCCAACAATCAGCTCCAGGAAGATCAAAGAAGGGCTAAAGTTACCAGTGAGTACTGTTACAATTAGAAGACGTCTATGTGAAGCCAAGCTATCTGCAAGAAGCCCCCGCAAAGTCCCACTGTTGAAAAAAAGACGTGCTGAAGAGGTTACAATTTGCCAAAGAGCACATTGACTGGCCTAAAGAGAAATGGCGCAACATTTTGTGGACTGATGAAAGTAAGATTGTTCTTTTTGGGTCTAGTGGCCGGAGACAGTTTGTCAGACGACCCCCAAACACTGAATTCAAGCCACAGTACACTGTGAAGACAGTGAAGCGTGGTTGTGCAAGCATCATGATATGGGGATGTTTCTCATACTACGGTGTTGGGCCTATTTATCGCATACCAGGGATCATGGATCAGTTTGAATACATCAGAATACTTGAAGAGATCATGCTGCCTTATGCTGAAGAGGAAATGCCCTTGAAATGGGTGTTCCAACAAGACAACGACCCCAAACACACCAGTAAGTGTGCAACATCTTGGTTCCAGACCAACAAGATTGATGTTATGGAGTGGCCAGCCCAATCCCGGGATCTTAATCCAATAGAAAACTTGTGGGGTGACATCAAAAATGCAGTTTCTGAGGCAAAAACCAAGAAATAGAGAAGAACTGTGGAATGTAGTCCAATCATCCTGGGCTGGAATACCTGTTCACAGGTGCCAGAAGTTGGTTGACTCCATGCAACACAGATGTACAGCAGTTCTCAGAAACAGTGCTTATACAACTAAATATTAATGAAGTGATTCAAAGGAAAGCAAAATCTTCAAACATTTTTCAGTTTATATAGTGAATGTTTGAGTTTGTAAAGAAGAATACAAACACTGCTATTTTTCTGAACAGTCTAATATTCACTTTTCTTCAATTTTTTTATAGGAACAACACAAATTTGATATATTTTTCTTCATGTTTTGATTTGGAATAGAATGTGTAGTGTTCCCAATGCATTTGAATGTATGGAAATAAAAGCTATTAGAAGCATTTTGAGCTTTATTCACTTTTTTCAACACACTGCTATTATTTTGAACACAACTGTATATACGTGATTTTGCATTTCCGAGTAGGGGGTGCGTGTGCCCTACCCGCGCCACCATTCGCGGCCACGGCTGTCAATCACCAGGTCCCGGCCGGTGATTACTCGCTGGCGCCCAGTGATTGCCGAGGATCTCCGACGGGGAGGAGAACTGTTTGTAAACTAAACAGTTCTCCTCCCTGTCAGCTTCTGCACACTGCTTTGCATGGCTGTGCACAGCACAGCCAACCAAAGCAGTGTGCTGACAGTGAAGCACAAATACATGGCCCCATAGTAAAACACACCCAGCACAGAGTTAACCCTTTGATCGCCCCTCATGTTAACCCCTTCCTGCCCAGTGCCATTAGTACAGTGTCAGTGTTTTTATTTTAGCACTGATCACTGTATTGGTGTCACTGGGAATGTCAATGACACCAAGTCAGTTTCGCCCCAGTGTCAGAATGCCCACCACAGTCCTGCTATAAGTCGCTGATCACCGCCATTACTAGCACAAATGAAAAAAAAATCCCAGTATCTATACTGCCATTTGTAGACGCTATAACTTTCACGTAAGCCAATTAATTTACACGTATTGAGAAGACGTGTAGCAGAATACATTTTGGCCTAGATTTATGATGAAATTTGATTTTTAATTTTTTTTTACTGGACATGTTTAATAGCAAAAAGTCCAAAATGTTGCTTTTTTTCTCAAAATTGTTGGTCTTTTTTTTATAGCGCAAAAGATAAAGAACGCAGAACTAATCAAATACCACCAAAAGAAAGCTCAATTCGTGGGAAAAAAAGGATGTAAATTTCATTTGGGTGCAGCATTGCATGACCGCGCAATTGTCAGTTAAAGTAACGCAGCGCCGTAATGCAAAAAATGTCCTGGTCAGGAAGGGGGGTAAATCCTCAGGAGGGCAAGTGGTTAAATCTGCCTCAGAACCTGTGTAATTAATATGTGTTCAGGTTTAAAGGGATGATGTGGCAACCCTACTTGAAGGACTGTTTGGATTGTCTAAAGAAGTGTTATATTTATTGAGCACTGATTTGACACACATTTTAGGGACACTTTGGAGTATGATTTTTGCATTTTGGGAATTTTATCGCTGCTTGATTTTATTTGTATGTGGTCCATATATAAGGGTTGTAGTGGTGTTTCTAGTATTGCTGCCATGGATAAACCAAAGTATAATATTGCCTGTAAACTTGTAATGTAGTGGAGAAAATGAACGATCATCATGTAAGTGGCAATAGTGTAGGAGTTACTGTTCTCAAGATGCCTACAATTCTGCAAAAAAATATGGGAGATTTTGGCAGAGCAGTGATTAAAAACTACCATTTTTTCCTGTGGGATGATATACCTGATCATTAGTGCATTGACATACTGTAAATAGAATCTGAACTGGCCTAGAAAAAGACCAGTACTAAAATGCATGCACTAGCCTTGACGCTAGGTTCACATCTGTGTTGGTGGTGCTGCTGTGGATCCGCACGAAAATCCGTACAGACGCACAACATGCACAGAGGAATGCGGACCTGCGGGTGGGTGCCATTAATTCTAATGACACGCCATCCAGACTGGAAAACATAACTGTACTTCTTCCCTGCGTGTCACAGGCATGGGATTCCATTCAAATGAATGGGCTCTCGTGCCCATGCAAAACACAGCCCACACGGCCACATATGTGTGAACCGGGGGTCATGGTACTGCTTAGTCCTTGTGAAAAGCTGATCAAACACATTATTATGTAATTGTATGATCCCTTTCGGTATTTACCAAAATGAGGGACAGTATATGTTATTTAGGCATTACCCACATTTACCTACACAGCCTCCCTGTCCCAGCATTCTGATATTGTAGCTCTGAGGAAAGGGATTCGTCCCCGAAACGTGTCAGTAGGCCGAGCGCACCATCAGTCGGACACTCTGCCATTCGTGTGGCCATCTCCATGGTCTTACAGGCTTTACATACGTGCTATGTTTGTGAGTATGTTTTTTGTCCTTTTTTAAACTTTTTAACCACCTGCCTACAGGGCACTTATACCCCCTTCCTGCTCAGGCCAGTTTTCAGCTTTCAGTGCTGTCGCACTTTGAATGACAATTGCGCGGTCATGCAACAATGTACCCATATGACATTTTTATCATTTTTTTGAGACAGATAGAACTTTCTTTTGGTGGTATTTAATCACCTCTGGGTTTTTTATTTTTTGCTAAAAAAAAACAAAAACAACTGAAAATTTTGAAAAAAAACGTTTTTTCTTAGTTTCTGTTATAACATTTTGTAAATAAGTGATTTTTCTCCTTCACTGATGTGCGCTAATGAGGCTGCAGTGATGGGCACTGATAGGTGGCACTGATAGGTGGCTCTGATGGGCACTGATGAGGAGGCACTAGTAGGTGGCACTGATGGGCATTGACAGGCATTGCTGATGGGCACTGAAAGGCAGAACTCATATATGGCACTGATAGGCAGCACTGATAGATGGCACTGACTGGCACTGATAGGCAAAACTGACTGGCACTGTTAGGTGGTACTGACTGGCACTGATAGACAGCACTGATGGGCAGCACTGACGGGCACTGATAGGCGGCACTGACTGGCAGCACTGAGAGGTGGCACTGACTGGCATTGATAGGTGGCACTGACTGGCACTGATAGGTGGCACTGAAAGGCAGCTCAGATGGGCACTGATATGTGGCATTGATTTGCATTGGTAGGCACTGATATGTGGCATTGATGTGGCACATTGATGGGCACTGACAGGTGGCACTGCTGGGGCTGCAAAGATCATCAATGCACACTGATCATCAGTGCCCTAATGATCAGTGCACATGTCCCCTCTGAGGAATGCCGATTACAGGCTCTCCTCTCCTCACGAGCTGCCAGCGTGACAGCTTGTGAGGAGAGAAAATGCCGATAAACGGCATTTCCTTATTTACATGCGATCAGCTGTGATTGGACACAGCTGATCACATGACTGAGCTGACGTCTTTGGACTTTCCATTGATCGGTGATCTGCTGTATCCCAGGTACACAGTGCACCACCAATCACCGCGTGCGCGCCCCCGGGGGCGCGCATGCACGCTTAGAGTGAGAGGACGTCATATGACGTCCTCCCAGAACGAGAGAAACGCCTTGAGCCTGTCATTTCCTTAAATGGCGGGCGGGAGATGGTTAAATAAACCTTGGATAATGCAGTCGCCCTCTGTAAGCTTTTTTCTATGTCCCAGCATTCATATGTCCTTTATCTTGTACTTTTAGGGCTGCATCACACTACATGCGTTTCAGTTGCTTTTCTTCTGCATCCAAAATGCAGCACAAAATAGGTTATATGGTTGTCAATATCATAGTTCACAACATTGCTTACAGTTCCAGTGCGTTCTGGTTACAGAAAAAAGTAGAACAGGCTGCATTTTTTCTGCACAGAACTGTACTGGAACGCATCAAAAATGCACCAAAAACCAAAAATGCACTGGACCGCACATGTACCTATTTAATTTGAAGAAAAAGAAGGGGGAAAAATGAACTAGAATGCATAAAAATACACTGGATCACGTCAAAAACGCATTAAAAAACCACGCATGCAGAAAAGCATCCGGAACGCATCTGGACTGCATTTTTATAGTGTTAACCGACCTTTAGCAAGGAAAAGCTTATAATTCCCTGTTACATCATCACATCTGTAAAAGTCTTTCAAGTGCGGCTGCTGTGAGGTCAGTTTCTATTGATGAAGGCACTCTCCCAAGAACTGATCAGAAAGGCCTCATTCACACTGGGCGTACAATACTATATGCCCGCAGAGGGCCGTGTTTATCCGCACAGGGATGCACAGGTGTTCAGTACATCCCCATCCAGGAAATCTCATTGATGTCTATAAGGACACAGCGACTGCACAGAGACATCCCCTACTCCCAATGTAATATCCGTGTGGCATCATGGGGTGTCCTCAAAACCAGAAGTGGCCCTTAATCACTTTTCTCCTTGACTTTTTGGGGTTTAAAGCCCCACGGCATCCTTTTTTCATATTTTTTTAAGCCCCGTTTGGACACCTTTTCTGCAACTCTAAGCATTTGGTCAAAGGTGGTAAAATTTTGAGGAGCACACACCCTAAACTGACCCTCATTTTTTCACACCTTTATACTCATTGCAACTTCAATTTACCAAGGAGTGACCAGAGGGATGAAAAATGAGTTGATTAGAGCTTTAAACAGCCAATTGATTGGCTGGGAAACAGGCGTTTTCCAAGACCGGAAGTGGCATCCTGGGGTGTGCTCAAAACCGGAAGTGGCCCTTAATCACCTTTCTCCTTGACTTTTGGGGTTTAAAGCCCTGCTGCATTCTTTTTTTTCATATGTTTAAGCCCGTTTGGATACCTTTTGTGGCACTCTGAGCATTTGGTCAAAGGTGTGAAAATTTTGAGGACTGTGCAGATGTGGGTACCCGAATGTAGAAGAGTGTGAGTTCAGGGCATTGCACCGGCACCCTCAGCACCCGCACCTGCACAGTTGTCATATTGGAACACAGTAGCTACGATTGCTTTGACATTTATATATTTCTTTCCAAGAAAGGCTAATAATGTGATATTATTTATTGTTTCAAAGTTGAAAGAAAAGGTTTTAAAGGGTGGTTGCACACTCACTAATAGATTTTTAGGCTTTCTTTATGGCTCACGTGCTCATAGCACAGCACACTCTGTTGCTTGACTAATTGGCGGCTCTGCTAAGTGTCGTATTGTGCTTCATTATAAGCCATTTCCAGGCCATTAGATGGCCCTTTGTATGCACTCGTGGAATGTCCATTACCAAGCAGATTATTAGTAGCTGCTCTTTCTACCTTCACTTCTCCTCTGTAGTTATGGCAGGGTGGCTTATAAAGATGGAATGAGCAGATCATGAGGAATGGTGGGGAGGAGGCAATAGGACTGAATGGTGGAGAAAAGGAGCAAGATGATGAGCAGATTACAGAGGGACAGATACCAGGGAACAGGACATGGCACCGACAGTGGAACAAAGATGGGGAATGAGTCCATAGCCAGAAGAGAGCATTAAGGCTGTATATGGAGTTACATTTATATGGATCATTGCCATTTGCTGTTTGCCATTTTGAAGTCCCAGTTATACCTTTCTGGTCTGGTGCATTAAAACAATGCATGTTATGCCCTATAGTGATATGCGCAATACTACATTAAAAGCACAATAAAAGCAGCCCATTAATTTGAATGGACTGTAGTATTTTCCCAAATAGCCAACCACCTTACACATTAGTACATGACCATGCTTTGTAGTACACTGCAACATGTGTCGGTTGTGCATTCCTATAGTGCACCGGGGTGGCATTCAAAATGAATGGCACTATAATGCACTAACGTGTGCTTGGTGCATTACGGCAATGCATAGGTATGAAGCTGACCTAACATGATCCAGAGCTAATATGTTTTATTTTTATTATTTCAGGTACTTATATACTGTCAATTTATGCAGTGCTTTACATATGTATTGTACATTCTCATCAGTCCCTAATCCCCAAGGGGTGTACAATCTAAGGTCCCTAACTTACATTCATATACTAGGACCAATTTAACCATTTGCCTACAGGGCACTTATACCCCCTTCCTGCCCAGGCCAATTTCCAGCTTTCAGCGCTGTCACGCTTTGAATGACAATTGTGCGGTCATGCAACACTGTACCCATATGAAATTTTTATCATTTTTTTGTGACAGATAGAGCTTTCTTTTGGTGGTATTTAATCACCTCTGGGTTTTTTATTTTTTCTTAAACAAACCAAAAACCACTGAAAATTTTGGGGAAAAAAAAATTTTCTTAGTTTTTGTTGTAAAATTTTGTAAATAAGTGATTTTTCTCCTTCACTGATGTGCGCTAATGAGGCTGCAGTGATGGGCACGCACTGGTAGGTGTCCATCACTGATGGGCACTGAAAAGCAGCACTGATAGGCAGCTCCAGCTCAGATGGGTACTGATATGTGGCACTGTTCAGCACTGACAGCTGGGGCCACACTGATGATCAGTGCACATGTCCCCTCCGTGAAATGCCAATTACCAGCTCTCCTCTCCTCTCGAGCTGTCAGCTCGTGAGGAGAGAAATGCCAGTAACCCGGCATTTCCCTGTTTACATGTGATTGGACACCGCTGATCACATGACCAAGCCAACATCTTTGGCTCTTTCCGTAGATCGGTGATCCAATGTGTCTGAGGGACACAGCGCACCACCTATTGCCACGCTGAATGCTCCCTGAGCTGCCCATGCATGGTGAGAATGGGAGGACATCATATGACATCCTCCCAGAACAAGAGAACCACCTTGCACCTGTCATTGGACTATATGGTGGGCAGGAGGTGGTTAAACAGGATCCAATTAACCTACCAGCATGTTTTGGAATTTGGGAGGAAACAGAAGTACCTGGAGGAAGCCCATGGAGGCACAGGGAGAACATGCAAATTCCAGGCAGGTGGTGCCATGGTTGGGATTTGAACCAACCATGTACTAGTACTGGCAGGCAGGAGTGCTAACCATTTAGCCACTGTGCTGCCCAAACATGAGCTGAGCCTACTGCACTGAGTAAGCTCCTTGCTATTTATATGCTTTTCATGGTCTAACAGCAAGACTAATGAAAAACAAATCTCAGAGAGTACTATTTTACTGAAAGAGTAGTTGATGCTTGGAATAAACTTCTATCAGAAATAATGAGCCAGTCAACAGTAAATAACTTCAAACATGCTTGAGACAAGCAAAGATTTATAAAAAATTTAACAAAAACAAAAAAACACACAAAACACAAACAAACAATCCCCCCCCCAAAAAAAAACAAACAAACAAACAAAAACAAAAACAGGCCGACTCCATGGACCACTCGGTCTTTTTCTCCATCACTTTTCTATGTTTCTGTGTTAGGAACTTTCTGCCACCATTCCTGGTTCTCTTCTTGTCCACCTTGGAGACTTGTGTGTTCCTGGCCACCTTTGGGTGTTCTCTGTTAAAATTATAACAGGGGATTGTGAGATCCCATTTTTATGGGCACAGCAGACGAAGAACTCAAGTGCAGATATGCCACTAATAAATGCCCCTCAGAGGCAGACATGCCACTCTGAGAAATACTAGAAATTGTGGAGTAGGTAAAAGAAAAGCATAGCCAAACCTTTTTGGCCATACTTCTCTTTAGGGTCACAGGAGTACTTTTACATTTGACCAGTGGAGTATTTAGGTTTCATGCTGCCCCAGGCAACACAAAAATTGGCTCCCCCACCCACGGAGAGACCCTAACCCTGAACAACACCCCCCTCCCCCACAAAGAGAGCCTGACATTGACCAACAACACCCCAAAAGAGAGAGCCTTCCACTACCACCGCTCCCCACACACTGGCCACCCCGGCGAGAGAGAGAAGACACTCACCTTCACAGCTCCCAGGGAACAAGAGTCGGGCTCTGCATACACCATCAAGCAGCCCACAGCCTCTCTCGGATCCCACCTGGTCTCCATGCTGTGTGTGTCCCTTCTTCCATCCCTTCCAGGGGGCAGCGCTGCCCCCTGAAAAATGCTGCCCTAGGCAAATGCCTTGTGGTAAATACGCCACTGCATTTGAACCAGAGTCAGCTGATAGTGGGTTATCGCCTGCTGTCATCTGATAGGTCAGAGCTGCTCCAAGCTCTGGAAGGATCCTGACAATATTGACAGCAGGGTTCACTTTTCAGGGTGCCACTGAGAGCTAGCGCCACCCATGCCCACCCCCTTCCCAGCTTGGTACTCCAGTGAATGTTAGGCCGGCCATACACTATTCAATTTTCTGTCCAATTTCTGCCCAATTTCCTTTAGATTTACCTTCAACCATGTACTGCAAGAGCCTGCCTAATTGGATACAATTGAAAGTGGTGTTTAGGTTTGACCTCATATTATATGGTTTTTGGTAAATCTAAAGCAAAAATCTAAAGCAAAAATTGTATAATGTATGGCCAGCCTAACTCATCAGTGGTCATGTGATCTGTCAGCTCGCGGTCTTAATGCTGGTGTGGGACAGCTGCAGTGTCACACCGAAGCTGCAGCATAGAGGCAAGTAGGTATGTTTGTTTAGTTAGTAATGTTTGTTAGCAATTCCAAACCTTTCCAATTAAATGTTTAGCATCTACCAAAATAGCTTCAAACATGCTTGGGACAAGAATAGATCTATAATCAGACAAAAAAGTTAACAAAAAAAGCCCAAAAAAACAAAAAACAACCCCCCCCAAAAAAAAAAAAACACACAAAAAATAATGGGCAGACTCAATGGACAACTCGGTCTTTTTCTGCTGTCACTTTTCTATGTTTCTAAAATTGAGATACCAGTTTAGGGTTAGCTGTTCTCTAAAAGTGTTGTGTTCCTTTTTGCTATCATGCTCATTTTACATTTATATTATGAAACCAAGTGTAGATGTTATAGTGTTTCATTATAAGTTGTACTCATTTAGGCCTAGTTCACACCGGCAATGAAAGCAGGCATTTGAGGGGTGTTTTTAACACTCCTCAAATGCTTATGTAAATGATACTATGGGCAGCACACAGCGCTGTCCACATTATCAAAACGTGAAGCGTTGGCATCACGTCACTTCAAAATTGAAGCCTCATGTCCAGGGGCGGACTGACAACTCATGGGGCCCCTGGGCAATAGGGGATCATGGGGTCCCTGTGTCCTTGCCCAAACTCAAAAAAGCCTATGAAAAAGGTACCAGGGGCATCTCATGGGGCCCCCTACTGATCCTGGGCCTTCGGGCAGTTTCCAAATGGTCAGTCTGCCCCTGCTCATGTCGAGTCTGGTGGAGTTTGAAGCCTTTCAAAGCCTCCCATTCAAGTCTATGATCGATGGCAGGCGTTTGCAGTGCAGCACGTTAATATAATAACTGGATACTAACATTTATAGGTAAGGTTGATCCAGGGAATATCCAATTGCCTCTCGGGGGATCAGGAAGGAATTTTTTTCCCCTGCAGGAGCAAATTGGATCATGCTTTGCTGGGGGTTTTTTTGCCTTCCTCTGGATCAACTGTGGGTGTAGGATTATAACTTTTTTTTTTTTTAATGGTTTTTATATGGTTGAACTGGATGGACTTTTGTCCTTTTGACGTTTGTCTTTTTTCAGCCAGACTAGCTATGTTAATAAATATACACTCCAGTGAAAAAGTAAATAAATAATAATTAATAAAAAATATATAAAAAAAGGAAAATTAAAAAGTCCCACTCAAAATCAATAAAGTGAAAAATAAAAAAAAAAAATTCATAAAAGTCCTTTTTCCCAAAAAAACTTTTGATCCGTGCTTCCACCGAAATAGTGCTCAAATACCACACCGCACTCACCAGATATTGGTGAAAAAAAAGCCTTTTAGGGTTTTTTGGGGATCCTAGACCCAGTCAATAAGCATCCAAACACCAGATATTATTGGATCTCCCCTACTTCAGACAGGAACATAGCCAGCCTCCAGCCTCCAGGATCACCACACACCACTCTCCAAGAAAAAGTTTTGAATAATGCAGAGAAAAAAACAAATATATAGTGTAATACTGCAATACTCGGGCAGAATCAATTTCCAAGTACCAAACCACTCACATTCTTAAAAAGTATAATCAGCATTTATTGTATTTCAAATGGAGCCAAAACACCACATCACCAGGGTATTTTTGAGATCTCACGGTCAGCAACAGATGACAGCACAAGAATCACCCACAAGCAAGATGGCCCCTGGGAATGCCCCACGCTGGTGTGCGTTCCGCTCACCGGAAGTGACATCGTACATTGGACGGCGAAGCCGGAAATGTGTCAACGTGTTTTGCCCCTCCTCCAGGGCGTTTTCACAGACCTGCAGAAAACTTGCATTCAGGAGTAGATTTTATCAGCGTTTCAAACGTAAAACACTTGCAAATGCGTGTAAACGTAGTTAAATGCGGCTAACCACAATTATAGGCATTTTTGTTGGAATATTTTTTTAACTCTTCCATTTCCAGATGCTGTCCAGAGCATCATCATCATGAAAAATGCATGCAAAGCGTTCTCCCAGTACTCACATGGACCTGGTACACCATACTTTGAGGTTTCGCCATCTTACTGATTCATGCAAATCAAATTAAAACATTAAAATGCAAAACAATACTGTACCTCCAGATTACGCTAACATTTTTTGCATGCGGGTCATAGTACTTACATTTCAATAAATTACTAATTTCTTGTACATAAATGAAGTAAAGTGCAGGAGGAGACCTGTTGGATTGCCCCCCCCCCCCCCCCCCCCCCAGCACAAACAGCTTGTTTCCTCAATATGTAAGCCACTAGTGGGATCTGCACTCAAGGGTGCATGGCTCACTGTCTCCAGTATCTATGTCATCCGTAAGATCTGCGCTTCAGTTCACATGGCTCACCGCTCACACCAGCATGAACAGTAAGGCTAGGATCACACCTCTGCAGGTGGGGAACACGAGCACAAAATATCGCATGTTACTAAACCGCAGAGAAATGTGCTGCACTTTAGCAGACCGGGGGACGTAGGGGGGGGGAGCCATTAACTGCTTGCCCACCACCCTTTGGTAGAACTGCTGCTACAGGGTGGCAGGGCTGTGCAAAATCACATATATATATACATGATTTTGCATAATCGGGTAGGAGGCGCATGCGTGTCGCCCTATCCACGCCACCAGCTGTCGATCACCAGGTCCCAGCCAGAGATTCCCCGCTGGCACCCAGCGATCGTCGAGGAACAGTGACAGAGGATAGGTAAGCAACACAGATCTCTCCCCTGTCAGCACGAACAGGCTGCTTCCCAAAATCTGAAGAATATATTTTAAAAAAATATATTTTTAAAAATATTTTTCATATATTTTGTAATATATAATAAATGCATCTCAGCATATATATATATACAGTGGGGATCGAAAGTTTGGGCACCCCAGCTAAAAATTTGTATTAATGTGCATAAAGAAGCCAAGGAAAGATGGAAAAACCTCCAAAAGGCATCAAATTACAGATTAGACATTCTTATAATATGTCAACAAAAGTTAGATTTTATTTCCATCATTTACACTTTCAAAATAACAGAAAACAAAAAAATGGCGTCTGCAAAAGTTTGGGCACCCTGCAGAATTTATAGCATGCACTGCCCCCTTTGCAAAGCTGAGACCTGCCAGTGTCATGGATTGTTCTCAATCATCGTCTGGGAAGACCAGGTGATGTCAATCTCAAAGGTTTTAAATGCCCAGACTCATCTGACCTTGCCCCAACAATCAGCACCATGGGTTCTTCTAAGCAGTTGTCTAGAAAACTGAAACTGAAAATAGTTGACGCTCACAAAGCTGGAGAAGGCTATAAGAAGATAGCAAAGCGTTTTCAGATG